AGGAGCGTGAGACTTGCCTGCTCAGCCCAAGGTCCGCGTCCCTGATTGCTCTGACGGGAGGGAACAAATCAGGGACGGGAGGGAAAGAGATGGAGGAGGAGCACTTGGCGATCTTCTTGGGATGCAGCAGACCGCTCCCCTCCGGGTCGTAGTAGGTGCAGGAGGCGATGAGAATCTGTGGCTAGGTGAGAACGAGGATGAGGTGAGGGGGCAGGAGGGAGGGGGAGAGAGACTAGGAAGGGGAAAGGGGGCTAGACGACGAGAAGGGCGGAACCGAGGAGGAGGCCGGGGACAAGAGGAGGACGAGGAGCAGGACAAGGGACATGATGAGGAGAAAGAGGATGAGGATGAAGAGAAAGAGGAAGAGGAAGAGGAGGAGAAGGAGAACGAAGAAGACCTGGGGCAGCTCTTGCAGGTCCTGCTGCCTGATGAGCTTGAGGGCCTCGCTGGTCGTGAGCTGGAACATGAGGGAATGGAAGACGGGGATGAATTCTTCAAGAGAGATCAGCCCGTTCTGATCCGAATCGACCTCCATGTAGATCGCGTTGATCTCCTGCTCAGCAGTTCACTCAGCGCCCCCGGGCTCCCGCCTTCCTCCTCCTGCCCTCTCCCCTATCCTCTCTTCTCTTTGCTCCCACCCTCTCACCTTTTTCGTCAGGTTGATGGGACAATTCATCAGGAACGTTTTGAATTCCTTGTCCTCAGTCAACCTCCTTCCTCCTCAAACCTCAGCCCGCCCTCACCTTCGCATCAAGCTGCCCCGACCCGTCCTTGTCCGCCTTCCAGCACGAGGTCAGCTCGCATACCAATGTCCCAACTTCTCTCCCCCTTACCTCCATGAAAGAGGCTCTCAGATACTTTTCAAGCTCCTTCGAGGTTATTCCGCGCAACATGTACTACAAGCACAAGCTCCTTCACTTCTGCTCCTCCTCCCCACCACCATCTCCTTCTCTCCTTCCCACCTCTCCCTCTCTCCCTCTCTCTCCCCCTCCCATTCATCCCTCCCTTGCCACCTTCGCTCTTGACTCCCCTTCCCCTCCTCCACCTTCCCCCCTCCCCCCTCTCACCTCTTCAGCGATTTGCTCGGCATGCTCCCGCACTATTTCCTCTTCCTCCCTGGCGTGCTCGACCTCCTTGATGGAGTCGATGACGTGCATCATGAGGGGGATGAATTCCTCGTACTCCAGGCTCCCGCTGTCGTCAACGTCCGCCTCCATGAAGATCAGTTTGATGTCCTCCTTGCTGTCAAGCACCGGCGACGTCAGGGGCAGCAGTACATTCAAAGATCACCTCAGGCCCAGATCCGCCCGCAACATCAGCTCCTTGAACTCCTTCTTGTCCTGTGACTCCCATCAGCATGACAGCACCTCTCCTCTACCCATCCCACCAATCTTCCGTTCTGATTGGTGTCCGCTTGGATGAACAGATCAGTGAGGTACTGAACCTGAAGAACTCCCTGCGTCACTGGAGCAGGTTGAGAGGAGCGGAGCAGACTACCAGGTACTCGTTGTTTATGCTCTCGATCGGACTGGACCAGATCAAACGTCAAGCTGGCTTTATGCCTTCATTATGGACGTACCTCTCCTCCCTGAGCCGCGCTGCGAAATACTCCTTCCCGAATTGATAAATGTTTCCAGGCTGGTTCCGCAGAATTTCACGAGTGAAGTCCTGCATTAATAAGGTAACCCCTTCTGAATTGAACATCCTCCCTCTCCCCTCACTCACACCGAACCCACTCCTCCAGTCTTCTCGTCACACTCTCACCACCTCTTCCTCCACATGGGTTTCTCTTCTACACAATTTCTCGGCTGTCTCCGCGTTATAGTCTCCTGCATCTCCTTCATTCATTTCGAGGCTGCCTCTTCCATCCTCTCTCTCTCTCTCTCTCTCTCTCTCTCTCTCTCTCTCGCTGCTCGTCTCTCTCCTCTCCTTCATCTTCCTCCACTCTCCTCTTCCTCTGTCTCTATCCACCAGTCTTACCTTCAGGATCTGCGGGAAGTCTGCAGGGATCGTGTGCATTGTGCGCATTTTTGACGCCATCGTTGGGTCAAATCAACTGAAGCTCTAACGGTAGGTAACGGTAAACCGAATCAGCGCACAGAAAGGCGTCTTGCTGAGTGACGGCAAGAATCCGGCTGGTAATTCATACAATAGTTTTAGTGACATGCGGAGTTCGGTTCTCCTCCGAGGCCGCGTAAACCACCGGGTCCTCTGACTGAGTTGGCGACTGAAGGGGAGGGGTGTTGAAAGAGTCCCCGTATTCCGAACCCTACCCTACCCACATGATCTTCTCCAATCTCATCGTACCCCTTCCTTGTACTCTCATAACACCGGTAGTCATCTGGGAACACCGGTATTGAAAATGTCTCATTCGCCGCCCCACCTTGTGTTCAGATCAGTGATACCCCTCTTCGATCCTCTATCCCTCCTCTCCCCACCACCTCCCGCGCTTGCTGCCGCTTTCATTTTGCATTCCCACTTCTTGGAATCGTTGCCTCTATCATTTCCTCCCTTGTCTTCCACTTCCTCCCTCGCTAGTCTACTGCTGCTGCTACCATTCCGTCTTGTTTCTTTCCTTTGCGGTGCTTTTCCTCCTGTGCGACCTCTTTCAAGCATTCCAATCTTCAATCTCTTCTCTTGTCTCCCTCTACACAAAGCATTTAGACCGTTATTCTCCACGATCCCTGCGTAACACTTGTCAAAGCGAACCTTTGTACTTCTGTACCCTTCTTGAACTTGTTACGAAATCTTTCGAGAATCGTTCTTGTATGTTCGTCCTGCATGCTTCCATGTCTACGTGTAACCTTGTGTTTTGTGTCTATCTGTGTTTCTGCCCTGCACCAACCATCAGGATCCTTGTTGGCAGCCATGCTGACTCAATTTCCTTTCCAGCCCTTCCGGTCTGCAGCATGAAAGAGGGGAACACAATGGAGAAAGATCAAGGACATGCAGTGCATACAACGGAACATTTTATCAACTCCATCACGAATTCCTTTGCCTCCCTCCAAGATATCATCTTGTGCTCCAACCCAACCCCACACTTCCAGACGGCTGTGAGTACATTGCCCTGCTCGCTCCAATGTCGATGGTGACGTTGAACAGGATGGTCGCGATGTCACACGGAGTGAGAAGCCTTCTCCAGAGAGGCAGGCACGGGTGCAGTCTCACTTCAACTCCGTGTTTCAGGACACAGAGAGGATGTATCAAGCTGCGGTAAGTGTGGAGAGGCGAGGCGACAGTGAAGGGCTCATCTTCGCTCTTCGCAGGTCCTTGCAAAGGACAAGAAAGCGTTCTGGATGGCTCGTACTCTGATTGCCCAGTGCAGAGAGACAGCGGTGAAGTCTTCATATGGTTGAGTTTGTTCCAGTCACACATGTACTCCAGAGCGAAGCGAATGTTGACATTGAGGACGTCCTCAGAAGCTTCGAGCACGAGATTGAGAGTGCTGAGTACCAGCACAAGGTCATCAGTCGCTTGCTCGCTGTGCCGAAGGTCTGACGCCTCTTTCACTATTCAGTCGAATGTCCTAGCTGCGAACAAGTCGCGGGCCCATCGAAAAATAGTTTTGTACTGAGAATCTCTTCTTCGAATCGGCTGGATCGCCATATTTTTGTACATTACCATGAATGTGTTTTGACTGAATATAGACTAATCAAATTTAAAATTTTCTCTTTCCTTTCTACACAATTTGGACAAAAGGACCAACTTGGTCATCACTTCAGCGCGATTTCTTTCCCGTACTTGCTCTGGACCCGCTTGAACGCTTCTACGCTTCCAGAAAAGTATTCTGCGGAACGAAAGGTAGTCAGGACAGCAAGCAATGCTGCGGCATCAGGTTGAAGTCAAACTCACGTCCTGGCCCTTTCTCGGGATCATACTGAAGCATGCAAGAGAGAAGAATGCCTGCGTGAAAACCAACATCAGCAAGATGTCCTCAGTTGAAAGAACTTGACCGTCAGCAGCGTCCTTGATACGCATCACATAGAGTGGGTGGCCTCCAACTTTGGCAGGTTCCTAGGGAAAGATTGAGCACACCGAGCAAGCGTAGGAAGCGTGTCAAACCTCAGAGAACGTGACTTTCTGTGCTTTATCAAGATTGATATGGCACTCGAACAGCTTGTCGCTTGAGGCGATGGTGGCGTACGTGCCCTTCCCCGGGATCTCGAAGAAAGAGAGCTTCAGCCCCATGCTTGCCGCAGTTTCCAAGACCTGAAAGAGCCACAGATCACACTGCATGTCGACACCCTCCCACTTCGGAACTCACCGCTCCGTTAGAGTTGATGGTGATCCATCGAACTGCAAGCAAATGATGACATTGAGAACAGGGACCGGAAATCGCTCTGACTCACCAAGACCCCAGTCCTTGCATTCCTCCATGAGCTCCTTGAACTTGTCGTTCACCTTCCCATCCCCTGGTGCTGCCGGCCCTCCGGCCATTCTCACAGAGCACATTGCACGCTCTCCCCTGTGGCGAGGACTTGTGTGGGGAATGGTTCTGATAGCAAGCGCCTGCTGCTGCTTCAAGCTCGACATCAAGGAGACAGAGGAAGAAGGGAGGAGAAAACCCACTGCCGACTCCATCACCATCCCCACCAACAACAAGCGCATGGCCGACAACATTCTGTTACAAGTCACAGAGCTCAGGCTCGCCTCAGCTATGTGATCGGGGACCAATACTACTTTTACTGAAAGTTAAGTTAAACTGGAAGCAGTGACTGTGACTTAGAGAAAGCGGAGTCCGACTGAGTCATCGGCCCACTGCTGTCCGGTGACGGAGCATAAGTTCAACGGTTTGTTAGACTTGTACTATGCCAAAGTCACGCAGATATCACATCGACCTTAGTTGTAACAAGACAGTTTTTGCTCAAGACCAAGTTTAATGCACCGTCTGTGTGACACAAAACCAGAATTGAGGAGCACATGGCCTGAGCCTGAGAGGACCTTAGCAAGACGGCTAGGAAAGCCCCCTCTTCGTCCCACGTACTACATTGCCGCCTTGGAAACACGTCAGTCGTCTTGGTTTACAGGAGAGTTTTTGTTAACTCTGATGCTCGGCGCTATCCGTATGATCTGACTGGCCACGGCTGGCCGCTCCGGGCCCCCGGCGGGCAAGCTTGACAGGCGGGGGCAACTCAGTTCGCCGCCGTACGGTACGTGATCAGTACGGACCGTCCGGGGACGGTCCTGCCTCGGACCGTCACGAACCCGAGGGCCGGGCCCTCATCATTTGGGGCCGCGGCGGCCCGGCCGGGCCGATTGAGACTTCTTTTTTCCGAAATTGTTTTTTGAGTTTTACAATTTTTTTGGCTTGAATCAGGTTATGATCCTCTTTGCTTTTAGAACGATGACCCACCATTCCTTCTGTTCCACGAAAGGAATTCGATTGGGGTGGGGTACTCTAGAAGGTAGGAAAGCTCTGCTAATGGAGGGGTCATTTGCTAGATAGGAAGTCGCGGAAACTGAAGAGGGTGGGGTGGGTGTTGGGGGTAGGGGATCAATAAAGATGGAACAGGGTACGATGGGTAGGGGGTGGGTCAGCAGCAATGGTAGGGTTGCCCCCTTCCAAATAGAGGGGCGTTTCATTGGATTTCAAGGGGTAGGGGTGGTCGGGTCGTAGGGGTGGATGGGTTCTGAACGGGTTGTGGAAGCTGGCGGGAAAAGATGGCGGGGTAGCAGCGGAAGCGATCGCCATGTAAGCTCTTGCCGCCCCCATCTCCTCCCATGCACACTTGATTTATCTTCTTTCCCTGTCTCTGTACATCTCTCTGCATACTTGTCCTTGGTTGCATTGTCTGGTAGCCTCCTCTTTGCCTCCCTGCCAGGCTCCTTTGCTACTTGTCTTTGCTGTTGGTTGTTTCCTTGTATCACCTATCTTCATCCTCTCCTGAGGCATTTCAACAATCATTCCCCCTTTCGTTTCCATAGCTCCAACCTCTCCACTCCTCCTTATGGCACTTGCTCAGTTCCCTGTCACCTCGTCGCCCTGTCGCTTGTTGTCACTAGTCCTCTTTGTCGATTGATTTTCTTCTTCGCCCTACATCCGTCACTGACACAGTCAACTCTAATCGTGTTCAGCCTCCTATGCTGAAATGTTTGTCGTCCATTCGCTCGCCTCGTCCTAGCGAATTTACAATCCCCTCCCCACCTGTAGTAACGCAAATCTCGCAGTCATCGTTGTAATTCCATGCAAGATCCTTAACTATCATACAGTGTTGTGAAACAGTAGATGGCTTTACTTGATTGCAATTTTGCTGCACAATAAGAGAAGAAACGGCGTGAGGAGGGCGGAATGGTTATGGAGGGCAGCTTCTGAAAGTTGCAGTGTGTTGCACAATTGCTGTATTGATCCAGACCCTTAGGCTTGTTTTCAGCTGAAGTAATGCCCGTGATGCAGATTCGTTCCTAAACAGTTGAATCAATGAGCTCGCAAGCCTTGAGCCACCGAACCATCTTGGATGCTCAGCACAAGGCGCATCGCGACAAGGAGCACCAAGTCGCGAAATCTGAGACACAAGCAAGAAGTTGTCCGGGAGACATGAGCCCGCAGTCTCGACCCGCTCAGAAACGAAAATCGACACATGACTCAGATGAGTCGACCAGCCTGAATCGGGAAGGGAAGAAGCAGCATCGAATAAGCGAAGCGTCGACGACTACTAAGCTTCAGGTACAGCTTGTGATCCAGAAATCTTGATCTTTGATATCTGCGTGCAGAACAAGACTGCAGAAGTAGATAATGCATCGCTATCGAGGAAACAGTCGAGATCCATGTTGGAGCTTGTCAAGAAGCTTCGAGAGAGGTTTGTTTAGTATTGAAGTCGACCTCAATGGCAACGATTGACTTCATGTCTTAGGAGCAAGACCGATTACTTTGATGCGCCCGTGAATCCCGAGAATGCACCTGGGTTTGTTCCTGTTTTCGTAGAGGAAACATTCTCCTTTGACAGGTTCCATTGCTAGATATCATTCACCAAACAATCCAGAAGAAACAGCTTGGAACACAGAAGTGATGTATTTCGACAAGATGCTCGCGAAGGCTTCAGCAGGACACTATGACCGGGACCCCAACATACGACTGTCAAGAGTAATAGTCTCATATTCGAATTGATGTCTTGATTCTGAGTCCTGCCAAGGTGGAGTTTGATTTCAACCTCATGATCTACAACGCCATCATCTACAACAATCAAAAGCACCCTGTGAATGTAGCTGCAAGGGCATTGCACAAAAAGGTGCAGAAGGTTTGTCCGATCTTTCTATTATCGGAACATGGGCTGAGGGGGAGCAGATACTTCAAGGCTGGATGGATGGGGCACTGCTGTGCAGAAAGTGTGGTGGAGATGAAGTCTACATTGAGAACAGAATTTTGATTTGTGACTATTGCTGTGAAGGTCGCTCTCGTGAGTGGACTCCAGGCTGTAAGTGAGTTTTGTAGGTGTACACGATCAGTGTCAAGATGAGCGGCGACCGGACGAACAGGTTTAGCTTCAGACTCGACCGCGTTGTGGTGGAGTGATGCGAGTGTTGAATCTTGCAGGGGCACCATCCCTTGAGAAAGGAATCTTCGTGGTTCTGTTCGCAAGCTTGCCGCAAGACTTTCTTCAAGATAGCCAAGAAGTTCCAGTTGCCTGAAGAGGAACTTGGGGAGCATTACGGAGGCCCGCAGCCTTTGTCTTTCAGGATTGAGGATGGACAGGTGGGGTAACAAAGACATAGTGAGATGTGCTGACCTTGTAGTTGACAGCTCGTCCTTGCCTGTTTGGGCGATGAGGCGATGTGCCCTGGTGTGACCAGCTTGCCAACCACACCAGAACACAACCAAGAGGCTCAACGGTTTCCTGACCGCCCGATGGTCCTGTGGCAACAGGTTGTACATCCTGTGTTTGTGTCACCACGAACCTCATCAAAACAATTCTTAGCGGGGTTCACGTGCGACATGGGGGTTCGCTTCTTCCTACAAGGTGATCGACGAGAACTTCGACTTCCTTTCCTACATCGAAGACGTGGAGCAGGTCAATCCCCTATCCACTTCATGACAGAAAAATTCACTTTCGTCTCAGAATCGCAAGGCAGCATTTGTTGAACAGCTACTTTGGGCCATCAAGAATAGCAAGTTTGAGAACAGTATGCTTTGGCAGTTCCTTTTCCTCTGCCGCCACGTGCTAACTGCCTCATGTTGCAGCAATCAGCCCAGAAATTTTGTCTGCCATAGCAATGAAAGGCAAGAGAAACAAAAAACAAGTGTATCGTCAGCATGACGACGCAGAGAAAGGTTTCTAGATGTCCTCGTATGTCATGCCTGAGCTGACCTTGAATGTATCCAGGTGCCAAGGGTTGTGCGATTGAAGTAGATTTGATCGTTTCTTGTGACAACAGCCTGATCCTCTCATTGCAGAGCTCACAGGATGCCATCGGAGAGACAAAAGATTCGCCGGCTACCCAGAAGAATGCAAGTCCTCTACCGGCAAACTCTGAAACCCAGTCCGAGGCTGACGTGGAAAGCGGAGCATCGCGGAGGCGCAGCGACCCATCGATCGCCTCGCGAGCGGAAGATAAGCACCACAAGAAGGTTTCAGGCCGGAATGATGCTGAAGTCCTGCAGAAGCCTTCTTCTGGTACTCCAATCTCTCGCTGTTTTGTCACACGGCTGTGCTGATGTTTCTTCAAGATCCAGCGTCAAAAGGTGGTAGCGAGGAGAAGAAGAAACGACCCCAGAACCCCGCCAAACAACACTCAAAGTCTACCACGGTACCGCCGGGCCAGGAGAGAAACGATCAAGTGGGTGGAGCCATCGATGCAGATTCTTCGAGCAAGATCGAGAAATATTCTTTGAATGCATTGCTGCAGAGAATCCCAGACAGGAATTCAGAAGGTGCAGCAGAGGGAGAAAGCTCTACGGCTGGAGGCGTCCAGGCAACTACCAGCACAGAAAACGAATCTCCGGTGGACGCTACCGATCCCAAGATCATCAATGAGATGGTCAGGAAGCATCCTGTCAAACTCATACCCAAGTACGAGATCAACGGGAAGTTTGTCGGAGTCCATTGCCCTGCTTCCGAGTCTATCGTCGGCAAGAACACACCAAGGAGCAAGAAGTGCGAACAAGTTTGTCAGTATTGCAGCAGGATTGGACATCAGGGCTTCGAATGCCCCGCGCTCTTTGCCAAAGTCCATTCCAGGCCACTCCCGGGATTCAACATGGATGGAACGAGAAATCCGGGTCAGTGGTGCGGAGATTGCATTCTGCAATCTACGGCCCTGGAATGGGTGACGCTAGAAGAAGAGGGATATTTTGCTTACGGTACCCCACAAGAAGAAGAATTGTCAGACTCGAACGAACAGATGGAAGTTGAGAAAGAGAAACGAGGCGAAGATGAGGTTGACAGAGCAATTGACGATGACGAGCACACCGACAATGGAAACGACGGTGTTGACAAAGAAAATGAGATCGCGATTGAGGTTGAGAAGGAGAGCGAGAGAGAGGACGAGAACACGAACAAGCATGTGAACCAAGGGGAAAACGAGAACAATCTTGATGATTCGATGGATTCCTCATCAACGACGCAAGTATGCCCCAGCGAAAGAGGTGCCGAGGATAGTCTGTCCACAGGTCGGCCATCCATCGAGGCCTCCAACGCCGATAGCTCACGATCCACTGGAGCCAACGATACTACCACTCACGTTCAACAAACAGACGATTCCTTGCAAGCCGCAGGTAAATCCTGCTCTCAATTCATTAAGTTCGTCTAACGTTTGGTTCTCTTGCAAACGTCTGGCAAGCAGTTGACAAAGTAGAGCTTTCTGCGTCTGCCTCAGGTGTTGGCGAAAGGAAAGCCGAGACTGACGCAGGAAGTTCGAAGCAAGGACATGGCGATTCAAACGTGGAATCTCGGAAAGATCTAGCACAAGTAGGCTCGAGCAAGCCGACAACTCATCAGGTTCAAGACTCTTGCAATGGAGCACACGAAGGATCCAGCAGGATGATGGAAATTGAAGCTGAAACGACCGCGGCAGATGTATCAAAACAGGCTGACGGTGCTCAAGTAGCCAGCACGACTAGCCCTGAGAGCATGAACTCTGCTGGACCAGCCAACGCACGTCACGAACCTGCACACACAGACACAACAGACACAAAACAGCAGGCGCGAAGTCATCAACCCCAGATGTCAAACATTCAGTCCATCGCGCTACAACCCGCAGGTGCAAGTGGAGCAGGTCCGTCATCCCAACCAGGGGTAGCAAACGTCAACAACGTGAACTTAGGCCTGTCACTGGTGATTGAAACTCTTTCCTCCCACAGTGTTTGGTAATCTTCCTTACAGCCAAAACAGCAAGGGGAGGTGAGTAACTATATTGGGGTGAAGCAGTTGAGGGATGGGAGGTTTGGGACTGCTGCTTTGATTGGAAGCAAATGGGTGAGTGGAAAACAAGGATCCAAGTGGACTTGACTGGAATGCAGGTGGCGATGCATCCGTTCGCGACAAGGAAGCTGGCTGCAAGAGCATACGACGTCATCCTTGCCCGTCATTTCAACTTTCAAATACCACCACACGTTAGGCTGAACTTCCCACAAGACTACGAGTGCACGTGCGAGGTGGTTCAGGTAGACGGACTTGCGCGAAGGTGCCGATCCTTCTCATCCACCTGCCGTTACAGATCTTCTCAGAAGCCAAACAGAAGATCTTGAACTGCGAAGTGATCCACGAGGATGGAAGGAGAACAAGCCCAAGTGCCAACGTCACGCAGGCTCAACAAGCGAGCAGACAGCCGTGATTGCCTTGTCTCTCTCTCCCATCACCCCCATACCTTACAGACGTCCCGTGCAGGCAAGGACAAAATTATCTGCAAGCTGATGTGCCAAGAACTTCCTCAGCAACAGCGACAGCATCGGCTGTAGCAGTCAGCCGAGGACCTACAGGCAAATCAGGTTGTCCTCTCGTTGGTCAATCGAAAATCTTCTTCTCACTCGTCGACAGGCGTCAACTCTGCTCGCCCTGCTGCTGCCACGTACCCGCATCGCAACCCTGTCCTTCAGGCCACAGCCGTTCCCCTCGAGATACAGTCGGGAGGCCACTCTAAAATCGTTCAGGCAACGGCCGTGGTGACCTCCTCAAATCAGCCTGCGTCGCAGCCGATGAACCCTCGGACATACAACGTCACCTCGCACATGCAAGCTCCCGTTGGTGGGCAGAGCTCAGCTCCTGACCCCAGGCAAGGGGCGATAAGAGCACAGCTCCCCGCCAACGCTCGGGTCCAGGTGCAGCACAATGCTCACAATGACAGCATGTCGCCCAGGCCGGCTGCCGGTGGCCTGCCCTCTCCAGCTTCCACGTTTCGAGCCGTCGTGCAGCAAGCAGCGAGCAGCCGACCGACAGTCTCGAGCTCAATGCATTCGATCCTGACGCCCCATCAAGCCCTCAAGAACGCCAACGAACGGGAGCAGCGCGCACGAGCCGAGCTGATGGATGCATGTAAATTCTTCAACGTGAGTGCCGCTGCTGCCAGGGTGCTTGCAAATGACAAGTTGATTTCAGCCGAACACGAGCGTCGAGTTCATCCCGCTGAACAGATCACCAACCTCAAGAACCTTCTGTGGACCTATGGAGACTCCTTGGCAACCAAACTTGCCGCCATCGATCAACTCAAGAGGTCCGAACCTTCACTTGCTCTCCCTCCTAGCTCCCGCTCTTCTCCCAAACCCTGACCAGCACCTCCGTAGCTCACCCCTCGCTCCACCTCTATCCTCGTTGATGCCTCCTCCTTTCCGAAGTTCACCTTCCCTTCCCCAGCTCCCCCCCTCCCCTCCTCCATCCCCTCGCTCTTCAGGCCTCTTTCGCTCCTTTGTTCCCTTGTCTAACTCTCACTCTCCTCGCTCCTTGGCCAACAGTGCTCTGGGCATCTCCCTCGAGACGTCGACCGTTACTGCGCACCTCGCGATCGTGAAGCAAGCAAAAGACAACTTCAATCAATGTTTGCTGCAGCAGCGAATGCACGACAAGGCTCGACAGGCAGGGCCAGGAGTCGATTCCAGCTCCATTCCAGCTGACCCTCTGTTGACAGGACTACACCAGGGCCATGCAGAGTGTCCTTGATGGCTTTGGGGATAAGGAGAAGCTGGCAGACAGGTGGGCACTTTGACACCGACCGACTCGTCCTGACCCTCCGGTAGACACCTCGAGGACATTGCGCGCTGCAACGAGAGCTTCTTCAGTTACCTCAAACAGATCTGGACGTGCCTCCAGCAGATTCGGAACGAAAGCAGGCCCGGCGGTCCGGCCAAACTCACTGACGGCCACCCCGGGACAGCCGCGCCGCGCTGAGTGCGGCTCAGCGGCTGGAAGGACGAATTCACACCTGTTATGAAATGCACTATCAGACAACCAAACGCTAGTAGAAGTAGCAGGCGATCTTGACGGAGAATCCCCGGGTCTGTCTGCTGCTGAGTAACTCAGCCGGATCACACGTGACTGAAAGTCGGGGCCCGCCGGGCGGCCCGGCTGCCGCGGCCCGGCCGCCCGTGACCGGCGGCGTCGGCGTACCGGCGTGACTGCCTGCGGCACCTTTGATTAACCGTTACGCATTGTTTGTAACCGGCGGTCATCAAACTAGATCCCTCCATTCATGCTCGACTAGCCTCCTTCTGTCATGTTGCCCCTCCCCTTCCTCCCTTCGCTCCAACCATCTGCCCCTCCCCTTCCTCCCTCGCTTCAACCATCTGCCCCTCCCCTTCCTTCCTCACTCCAACCATCTGCCCCTCCCCTTCCTCCCTTCGCTCCGACCATCTGCCCCTCCCCTTCCTCCCTTGCTCCTGCTCCTGCCCCTACTCCTGCTCCTGCTGATCCTGCTCCTGCTCCTGCTCCAACGGCTTTGAAAGCGTTTCCTCACTCTTCTCCTCCATTATCCTATGCAAGAAGCCTACCCCCCATCCCTCATGATAGACAATCGCTGCTGGATCTGCTGCCCCCCTCCATACCTTCTCTCTTCGCACGTTTCACTTCCTTCTCTTACCAACCTCAATTCATGTTCTGATCTGGCCTCCAGCCCTCTTCATCCTTCACTTCCTCTTCCTCTTCGTGGTCTTCTGTCATCGGGCCCCTTGTAGATATGCCGCGATCCTCGCTCACTCCCTTGTCCTCCTTCAAAATGTTGAAAGCTTCTTCCTCAAAGTCCTTTCAACATCCCCTCCTCCCACCATTCTCAACCTCCACATAGTTCGTTTTGCGTGCTCACACTCTGTTTCAGTTCTCTTCTCTACCAGCTATCAGAGATGCTCCTGCCCAACGTGAACGACGAGGAGGACAGCCTCCGCCTCCCCCGTCCTCCTTCCCCTCGCATCCGAATCACTGAATCGCCCCACGGCTCTTCCATCCCCTACCAGGAGCCCTGGATCGAGTCAGTGGGGAGCAGTATGAGTTCGGCCCTCCCTCCTCCTCCTTCCCGGCACCTCTGGGATGGCGACACGAGCTCGCATGCATCGGCCGAGCATGTCACGTCGGAGATGCTGGACCAGTTGGTGGAGCGGAAGATCAAGCAGCTGGCCCCTTCTGATGGAGGAGGCTCCAGCGCTGCTCTTCCTCCTCTCCCTCCGCCAGCTCCTGCTCCTGCTAACGCCCATCGTGGGCAGCCCGACGACCAGCACGCCGACAAGTCCTCTAGGCCCTCTCCTATCCCTCCCGCCAATGTCGCTGGAGGGCCGAGGAAAGTCGCTGCCGTGAACGGCGACAAGTCAAAGTCAAGACCTCAGCAGTCGTTGTCAGGTCAGTTCAGGCAGGTCGCAGCCGCGAGTTTGACGCGAATGGCAGCACTCTCTCCTCCCCCAGCTCTGGACGGACTGATACCCGAGCAGATGATGTGGGGATGAATCCTCGGGGGCATGTCAGAGTGACGACGTTATGACAGTGAGGGGAGTCGGCTGAAGGACGCGGAGAACGGATCTCAGATCTTTGGTAGATCCCTTTGCTCGGATCCTCTTCCTTCTCCTCTGATCTTCTTCCCCCCTGGCCCCCTGTCATCCTCCTCAGCTGCTGACCGCAAACAGCTCGTTGCCGTCCTCCTCACTGGTGCCTGCAGACAGCAGCTTTTCTCCCGTCCCCCGGATCGCCAACAAGGTGACGTGGCAGACGCTGCCTGTGAAGTGGGCCCATGACGAGCTTCTTTGCAGTCCTTCGGTACTCAGTGGACAATCCATTCCACAGCAGGTGACTTGACAGGAGAGAGCGGGAAGGAGATGAACGAGGGAGGAGGGAGGAGGGAGGAGGGAGAGACGGGGGAGGCAGGCAAGGATATGCGGGCAGGGAGAAGCAGTGAGGGAGTGAGATGGAGGCAGGGAGGGAGGAGCAGGAAGGAGTGAGAGTGAGGGAGGAGAGGGACGCGGCAAGGGAGAAGGAGGGAGGGATAAGAATTCTTGTAGGGACCTGGGATGCTCATCCTATCAGTTTCAACAATCCTCCTGTTCAAGTTAGACCTGGCCTGGGAGCCTGGGGCACAAAGTCTGGTGACTTGTCAGGTGAGATTTGACGT